CTTCTCCCTTTTTTCCTGACCCTATTTCACACATGTCCATTTTCACAGGGATTTTTACCATCAGGAATTTCCCTTCAGCATGAAGCATCCCTGTATGAAGTATTTCTTGGAGCAACGTAAGAGTGTCCCCTCTCCCACGGCATTAATAATCGCAGCCTTGGCATGCTCACATAAAACCGTATTGAAAGCACTATTTATGGCTTTGTCCAATCTCTGAACTAACCAAGTGAAGATAATGCCGTGTTTAATCTTCAGTAAAACACCCGTCCGGGGAGACGTGCTGTGCCATCTGCTGACTGCCTGCGCTAGGCGTGCTGAGTCGCTGCTTTTGCTTTTGCCTTGAGCCTTAATCCCAGAGTTTCTGGGGAGCGAGTCGGTAACAGCACGCTCATTTATTATTGCCCTTATTTATTGCTCACATGGAAGTTGCCAGAATTTTGATTGCCAGCTGCCTAAAGCTTTTCAAGGGAACACTGAGCTGCTGTGGATCCTTACAGCTTGCCTGCAGATCTACAAAAAATTGTCAGCCCTTCCTTTTTGCACAAAGTGCAAAACATGGGTGAGCAGGTGCTGTAGTAATGAGATCAGTTAGCAACTCTGCTGGAGATTTTTCACATCCCATGTGATAGCTGTTACACAACACCACCCCTCCCCAGAAAAAGCACCTAAGCTGCTTTTTACCCCAGCACATTACCTTTTACTGACCTCTTCCTGAAGCCTTAAGAGCACAGCTCAGTGTTACCAGTGGCAGTCTCCATAGTGATCCCAGTGCAGAGCTAATAAAAGATGTAATTTTGGGAAAAGCTCTAGTTCCCTGCTTGGTAAGGCTGCGACCCGCTAAAAGCCATGCATTTTGCCCTGGGAAGAGCAAGCACATAACACTCTTGGTTGCTGCTCACCATAAAGAAGAGTAAGCACAGGTGAAGCACATCTTTATCCTCACAGCTAAAAGGTTACCTGCCTCACCTGAGGCCATGAGGTTACAGAGGCCATTGCTCACTGCTCAGTGATACTGGCAGAACAAGAGGCCAAGGGTTTGACACATTCCTTAGCCCAAGGACTGAGCTAGCCCCAGTTCCCCTGGAAAAGCAGGGCTCCAGACTGCAATTTTAATTTTAAAACAGTTGCTGCCAGGAAACCTCACGTTACCAATGCTCTCCAGCTTCTGACCTCATATGAGAGCCCTACCTCCCTTCTGCTACGTGTCAAAGACTGCCTTAATTTCCGTGTCCCAGGATGTTCTTTTGATCTTAACACCCATCCTCTCTTGCACAAGGATTTTGCCACATGAAAAAGCCACATCAGGATGTGACAAATTAATCCCTCCTCCTGCACCCTGCAAGCCTTTCCTCTGCCCATACGGACACCTCTGACCAGCACAGGCAGCAAGCCCCAGCGCTGCCCTGAAACGCTGAGTTTTAATTCTCTTCTGTCACCAGCGCTCCTCCTACCCTTACAGTAGTTTCCATTACCCTTGTCATGCAAAATGCCAAGGCTCTGCAGGCAGGCAAAGACCTCCCAGGCAACTTCATGAAGAGGATCAATTCCCAATGCTTTGTAGCCTGATTCTGGGGAGCAATTTTGTTATTTTGATGCAGCAGCATTTAACTGCTGTTTGGCCTGTGAGCAGCAGGGGGCAAACAAATGTAGGGCCATTGAAGTCAGCAGAACTTGTCTTATACATCTACCTATCGCATCACAATCCCCTCCAAGATTGCTGTGCACAGCTCCACATCCCATAAATGCAGGATGTATAAGGACTACAGAAATCTCCTTACTTCTGTTCCCATCTGTCCAGCTTAGGTTGTTTTTACACTTCTCCCTTTATAAAGCAGCTTTGAAAATTATCTTTTTATCCAGCCAGCAATGAACGGCACATTCCTGGCAGAAGCAGGCATTTTCTGACAAGACAACTATTCCCCTCAAGCGATTTCCCATGGGAAACGTACAGTAGGACCTTTCAGATGCTCCTGGTACAGAAATCAAGGCATGGGCTCCCTGAAACCTGCCAAGTGCAGCTCTTACCTGAGACAGTGTTTGTGAACCTTTTAAGGAGCATTTACCAGTCATTCCTCCTTTACAGCCTGAACTGGAACTGGCCAGAGCCAGCTCCCAGCGTGGGGTTAAAGGTGTTTTCCCACCAGGGGGCATGGAAGTAACTGAAATATTTTGGAAGTTGAGGTGCAAACTGAAGACAATGTTACATCTCACCTGTTTGTCCTGCATCAGTGCTGTATTAGACCTATAACAGCAGACAAGAGTTAACATATTTATCATAGCTGAAATGAATGTATTTATCACGGATATAAATAACTGTGAAATCCAGAATAGTCCTTTCTTCACTTCTCACTGAGTTCAGGAGGGGAAAGGCTATCTCGGGCCAAATGGGGTTTAAGTAATAGCTTTCTGCCTAGCTACAAAATTATATAGATTTAAGAGAGCCTAAAAAATAAAGGTAGCTAGTTCTTAAACATACCCCCTTCCCCAAGTTTTCGTAAGGATAAAACCCACAACGTTCTTTATAAAACTTTTATTGAATTCAGCAGTGCAATTTGCAGCTCTCAGAAACCGAGAAAAAGAAGTATCATTTGAGCTTCCTGCTTTTCTTAACTCCTGCACGAATGCCAGACGGCTCCCCAGCGTATCTGTGCAGTTCCCTGCGAACTTCACGGACCTGGCCCTTGCGGCGAATCTTGGCTTGCCGAAACTTCTCCCGATGCTTGACCCTGGGGTTGCGATCGATCTTCTTCCTTCTGGGGGTGAGCCCTTTGTTCTTGATCATCTGATAGGTCACACCTCTCTTCTTATTTGGATCCTCTCCTTCCAACGCTGCTGCTTCTTCAAGCGTCTCCTGGTCTTCAGTTCTCTTCCTCTTGAGTTTCAGCTTCTCCTCCATCACCTTGTAGTATTTCAGGGCAGCCTCTTCATCCATGTCTGACTCATCGGACACTTCAGCAGCAGCAGCCTGGCCATTAGCAAGAGCAGGAGCACGTTTGGGTTTGTTTTTCTTAACATCCAGTGGGAGAAACACAGCAAACTTCTTCTCCTTCCGTAACTTATCTTCCTTCTTATCATAGTAGTTTTTCAAAAGCATACGAACTTGCGAGGATAACTTTTGATCTATAACAGCCAGGTCATTGATTATATTTCTATAAGCAACCAGCCGTTCAATAATGGGGTGACTATGAACTGGAATCCTCTTTGATTTCAAAACCAAATAGAAACTGATATTGGCACAGTAATTCAAGTAGAGATGATACTTGGTCTGCAAATAGCGACTGCCTTTCCCTTGCGGGATAGTGCCATTTTTGACCATTTGCAGCAGCGGGTGCAGTTCGTCCTTGAGCTCCATCAGCTTGACTTCAAAGTCCTCAATCAGCTGCAGGAGCTCGGGGGACTCCCGTTTCAGTAGCTTCAGCTGCTCTTTCTTGGAAAGGAGCTGCAAATCCTTGTCAATCTTCTGGCCCTTGCTGTCCTGGGTTTTCTGCTGCTCAGCCAGATAGCCCTGGATCACATCCAGCCCATAATCATCTTCCCCCAAGTCCTGCATCAACCGTCTCTGGATGACTTGAGCCTCCTGCTCCTCTTCCTCCTCCTCCGCATCGACTTCTTGCTGGCTACGCTTGCCCTTGGCCTGGGCATCACTCCCGTAATCTGTGTCGTAGTAGAGCTGCTTGCGCTGGCCCCAGGACAGCTCGTGGGGGAGCTTGGTGTCCTCCCGGCGCTCCTCCAAGTCGCTTTCCATGGACAGGTTTCCATCTTCATCTTCAACCTCATCTTCCTCCTCCTCCTCCCCTTCTCCATCCTCATCCTCCTCACCGTCATCCTCCTCTGCGCTGTGTTCGATGAAAAGATCCACCTCTCGCACCTCCTCTTCCTCTTCTTCCTCCTCCTCCTCTTCTTCCTCACCATCTGCATCCTCCTCCTCGCTGTCGTCCTCGGGCAGTTGCAGCCCCAGCACTTCTTCCTCCTCCTCCTCCTCCTCGCTGTCCCCAGCCTCCTCCCCGCTCTCCAGGGCAGACATCACCGCCTGGAACCGCGCCTCATGGAAGTTCTCCACCTCGTCCGCCAGAGCCTCGGGGCCCGCCTGGCCGCCGGGCATCTCCTCATCGTCATCCTCCTCATCCTCCTCCACGACGGGCCGGGCCGGCGGCCGCAGGACGGTGCCGCGCCGGGTCCTCATGGCTCTGCTCCGGCTCCGCTTCCGCCGCGCCGCGCTTCCGCCTCCGCTTCCGGCCCGATCCCTTCTGCTTCCGCCAGCCCTGCCCGCCCCCGGGCCGCATAGAAGTGAGGGATGTGCTGTGTCCCATCGCTGTCCCCGGAGCCATCCAGTCATTTGGGTGGGGAGGACCTTTAAAATCGAGTTCCAGCACCCAGCAGAGGCTGGGATGCTTTGGAATAATCCCGTCACGGTGGCTTCTGGGGAGAGTTGCAGTTTCAAATTGGATCCCTTTCGGTTAAGCGTTTGTATGTGAAATCACTCCAGGGCTGGAGCGTGATCGAGTTTACTTCTGAGTAACCAGCTGATATTAGATTTCTAATAGAGTAATGCAGGAGCTGTGTGACCTGAGCAGCCACTAAGCCAGGCTTTGATTTTTTATTTTTTTTTAAATCGTGACAGATGGCAAATAATGCCATGTAGAATGAAAAAAAAAGTGTCTTTTTTTCCTCCTCTGGGGTTTTCCATCACAGACCCTTACAACTGCACCAGCTGTCTGTATATTCATCTTACAATAATGAGATTTTTAAAAAAGCAACATAGAAAGCGCACCTGACATCTGCCTGCTTGATAACCAAAACTTCTCATTACCCACTTCCCTACAACCAGACCAAAGTTTCAGAAAGAAAGAGAAGTGTTTGAGAGCCTCCCTGGACACACGTGAGGTACACATGTTAACTCCGGACTCCTTACCCTCACCACATTGCACCTCTGCAGGCACGTTCCCAGGGGCTGCAGCTCAGCCTGCAGGCTGTGAGGTCGGGGCAGGCTGCAGAGCTGGGCTGCTCTGCTCCTTGGAGCGTCCTTTTCCACCAAGAGATTTGCTTCTTTGTGTCTCTTGCCCATCACAGAGCACCCAGCCCAGCCTCCCACGTTTCAAAAGGTAAAATCACATTAATACTGTTTCTTAAGAAATGCAGACAGCCATGCCAAAAGAGCAGAGGGAGGCACAGTCTTGAGTTTAGTCCAAGCTCAGAAACCCAGAGCCTGATAAATTAAGCAAGAGGAGCTCTGCATAGAACAAGTGCAGGTGGTTTTTTCTCACCACAGAACAGGTGCAGTTTTATTTTTAAATATTCCTGTCCACCTTCTTGTGAAAAAAGAAACGTCAAGCAAATATTAAACTTAACTGAAACAGAGTGGGGTGCGCAACTTTACTCACTTTTTGGTGATTCATTTGGATCCTGGCAGATCTGATGGCAGACAAGTCTCATTTCTAAGCCTTTCTGACATGCTCAGCTTCTCCACATAGTCACCTCTGGGTCAAAATTTCCCATGTTTGCTTTTGCACCAAAGATATGTCTAGCATCAAAGACACCTTTTTCAAATCTGTCCATGCCCATTTTCAGGTATCACCTCTCCCAGACACAGGCCTGTAAAAAAGACAGCAACAAGAATAACTTGGGTTTGGTAAGTGAGACACAGCCTGCATTGAATTTGTTAGCCACACCTTGGTGGAAATCCTCTCACTTTATACAAGGTTGCCACTAAAGTACAGCCATCTCTGCCAACCAGGCTTTGTAATCTAGCTGCTTCATCCTGTGATTTTTTTGTGTGTTGCCCATCCAGAGAAGCCTGCAGCCGATTTTTGAGTTAAAATTCCAGATAACTTTTACAAATGTGACCTGTAGAAACCCAGACCTTCAATGTGTCCCTGATGGTTTCCATCCACCTGCCCTCACAATGCAGTGCTCCTATTGCTTTTTGAGTTCTCAGTTATTCCTCTGCCCTGCAGCAAGGTTGGGAGTTCAGCTCCCCACTCAGCCCAGAATCTAAGCTTAGGGTGATGGTTTGCCAGCCCCTTGCCAAGCTGCCATGGTTCTTCAGTGGCTGCTTCCCCAGATAATTTTCTGGTTCTTTACCATGTTGCACAGTAAGAAGGAGACAGTCCATTAAAATAACAGTCCATAAAACAAATCCTCCTGCAAAGAGCTTGCAATCTAGGTAGAAATCCACAGAGACACGCAGGTGGCTGAACAGGACTGAAAATAACTCTTACATCACCATATCAAGACCAAAGGGACTTTATGCAGGCAGGTACATTTAGCAACTGAAATTCAGATACACCGAGCACCGGCAGTCAGGGAAAACCACCGAAATCAACAGAGTCACACAGAATATCAGCCTGCTCAGTCTCTTCCTTCGGGTTTTAAAATACCTTTGGATGCTTCTGCTTGGATTTTTACCAGCACCATATTTTTATCTATGCAGTCTGGCAGAAGAGGCCAGAACTCACCTCTTTTACATGTGCTCCATTCTGCTGCCTGCACCCTCACTTCCTGTATATTTCTAAAAACATCTTTTATTTTGTTACAAAAAATGGTCAGTGAAACAAATAGCACTTTAGATGGCCAACCCTAGCCAGGTTTATGTTTAACCTTCTGCAAAAGGTGAGGCACAAGGTGGCTGGTGCTTCAGAAGAGAGCTCCACATCAAACTCTTGGCAATACTTTCTGGGGAGAGGGAAAGGAAACAAAAAATTTTGCTCTCCTAAAGATGAAGCACTAATGAGAGAACAAGGTTTGTACAGAAGAATTATGGCATAGCCTCATGCTCTCATCAGAGCTGGGCTTGCTCCCATCGTCCCCCACCACCTGCCAGGGGAAACCTCGCATGTCAGCGCTGCTGATGCAACACAAAAGCTGTTTGCATCATGCAACTGCCAGATGAGATGTTTGTGCTGGGAGCAAAAGCTCAGGACAGGGATGCCAGGGTCTTTGAACAGCTCTAGGGTTAGGGACCCAGCCAGCAAGGTCTGAGGAGTGGGAATACAACCTGTAAGCTGACAGGCTGCCATTTCAGGATGCCTGGTAGCATTGCCTGATGACTTTAGGCTCTTAAGAGCCCGATGAGAGCAACCAGCCCTGGGAGCCAACTGTGGGAAGAGCCTGTAGCAGGTCACAGCTGCTCTGCTGTGCGGGGAGAAGCAGGAGACACAGGGAGATTTGTCATGTGCTGCTAAAGTTAATTGAGGAAAACATGCATTGCAGGTAGCAGAAATTCAGGTAACGCTAATGCAGGAGCCCTGGGTAAGAATGGGCCTGCCAGCATCATACTTTGCCCTGAATCCCTTCAATAAAATTGCTGGAAAGGAAATTCTATCCCCCAATATAGGTGCTTGCAGGCCTCTGCTGAAAAGTGTTGTTCAAGACTGAGTTTCCCTTAAAAAGCGGCCTTTTCTGTGCAAGACACATGCATATACTCTACAGACACAGCTCTGGTCATTGCAGTTACATTGCAATGTTTATTTTTCAGAGTTAAGCAGGTGATCCCACATCTGGGACATAAAAAACCCAGGTCATCTCCAATACTCCCCTGAGTATTTTCTTTTAAGGAAAAGTCTGCTTGACAAGCAGCTCAGAGAATTTGCCTGGGGTCAGACTCAGAGCTGTTTGTATATCACAAATCCCATGGGATCCCTTTTCCATTCATAAGGAAAGAAACTCCTTGGTGCAGGAGGAAGAGTTCAGCTTTGCCAGGGACCTACTTTACCTCTTTTACCCATCCCCTCTCTCATCTTGTCTGCTTTGACTGAAAGCAATTTGGGGGCAGGTCAAGCCCTTAATATATATTTGCACAGAACTTGGTGCAAACAGGATTCTGATTTTGAAGCCTGTAGTGCTTTTATATGAGTCAAACTACCCACCAATGGTCGAAGTGTGATTTCTCCAAACTGGGAGCCAGAGCTCTAACCTCTTGGCTGTTGGGACACTTTCTCACCTTACTCTCCTCACCCTTAGGTGGGACAGTGCCACTGGCTCTGGTGTGAACTCAGTCTCAAAGAACCAGGGTGGTTTTGCACTCCCTTGCACTCAGCAGCTTCTCTGCTTGTTGGTGATGAACAGCACAAAAATGCACAGTAATAGTGCAACCCCCTGCCCCCATCACCTTTGAAAGCCAGAGGTCTTTGTGCACTGAACATGCCTGGTTTCAGTCCCCAGCCACATTTTCCACAGCTGGGCTGGTTATTTTAGGAAACAAATAGCTATATCATTTGCACACACCCTTATAGGCAGACACAGGCTCTTTCATCGTGTTCTTCAAAAGAAGGGAAGGCGAGATGAAGAGCTCTTTGTTGCTGTGGGTGGCCTTGGCCGTGTCCTTGGGATTCGTCCTTGTGGCAGGTAGGCGAGAAATGAAAATCATGGAAAACTATGCTTAAGGTATTAGTGATGGATTTTGGATAATCAGCCATTAATAATTTTAACAGTCGAAAATCAAACCTCAAACCCTGCTCAAGAAGTCATGGGTCAGTGGTGCTTGGACACCTCAGTGTCTTTCTGCACTAGAGACTGAGTGTTTTTAATTCCTACCTTGAGGCTAAAAAAGTGATGACTAGCTGTAAATGTGAGATATTATGATTTAGCCATTCTTGATTGGGTTTCTGAAGCAACAAACTGCAAACATGCATGCTTGCTTTTCTACAGCACCAGGAAGCTTGCAAGACCTTTACCTGCTGGATTCACAAGCTTCTAAACTCTTCATGCCAATCCTATTAGGCTGCTACTGCCAACTTATTTCTGATTAAACTGCAGTTTATCATTTAACTCCACTGAATTTCTGGGAGATTCTTGAGTTAGAGCGAGATCAGACTGTATCCCAGAACACTCTTCAGTGTGCCTCACAGGGATACTGCCTGTACTAATGCCAGATCTCTGTGTGACTGTCTAAAGTCATCCTCATGCAATGCTTGATCCTGTCAAAAGGATTAAATCCATGCTTAGGCTTAACCATCCCAACAGCACAGACAACAGCATCCGTGCATTTCCTGCAAGTTTTGGGAAAGGGCATCTTATTGCCTACCCAGGCAGGTCCTAGAAAATTGCTGCTTCCTATGAAAACTGTCCATCTGTATAATCCCTTAGCTGAAAAGGCAGAAAATGTTGAGAAATACTGTGTCAGTTCAACAGAGCCCACTCTGTTTTTCCCCATTCATACACATGGCTTCAGATATATACAGTATATACATAAGCAGCTTAGAGGAGAAGTCAAATTTGAGTTGAATGCAGCGATGGGAGGGCTGTTTGTACTACTTGTGTTGGAATTAATGTATTTTTGGTCTAATTGAGCCTCTTCCTACTTTAATCAAGTAGCAACTTGCACCTGCAGCAGAGCTTGAGCAGATATTTCTGGAATGCATTTGCTTTTTCACTATGCTGCAGCTGGATTTTCTTGGGCTTCACAGTGTGTTACAGGAAAACTCAATACTGGGATATGAGAAATTTTGCCAAAATAGTCTCTGCATGAGTGTTGAGGAGGAAGGGAATACCATATTGCAGCAAGTCCCGTGCCAGAAAATCCAACTTGCAGACATTTAGAAGAGCATTAACAACTTCAGTATTTAACCATCACCTTCTCCCCAAATGAACTTCACTGGGAGATACATAGACGCATTGCTGATAAAACTATTTTTTGCAGCTTTGTAATTTTACTTAAAAAAAAATATATGGAGCACCTTTTACGGTTACTCAAGCCAAGAGTATTACACAAGGCATTAAATCAGGTCAATATTTTTAGAGCACAGTAAAAAAAACCCCTGCATATTCATGAAAGGGTATAATTTTATAAGATGAACTAAAGCCTGCTCCCAAAGGTTTTGGGACAGCTCACAAAGCCAATAGGATCTGACTTGAATATTGGCTTCGGATTAAAGGCTTGGAAAGAATTCTTTATAGTAACAGGCAGAGGAGGATCTGCGTGAAGGACAAGACACTTTCAATAAGACAAAAGGAAGACCAAGACTCAAGGAGGCAGAAGCTAAAGATTCTTTTTGAGTAAGCTTCTGCTTCAGAGAGAGATGTTTGTGATGAGTTGGCAGAGAGGAAGTATGCAGAGCAGCAGAGATTGAAATAAGGGGTACAAAAGATAGGCAGCATTTAACTCGAAACCACCTCCATGTGTCAGATATGATTATGTATTTCTGCCCTGGCGGGGCACGCTGCAGTCAGAAGCATGCCTGGACTTACACTGCATGTGCACAGTTTGCAGTTGCATTTGAACAGCTGGCCAGTTGTGCTGGGTGCTATACAGAGAATTGTAAAAAAGCAGCCCTTGCCTTAAAGGGCTATAGCAGAACATGCTGCAGAGGGATAAAGACAATCACAAGAGCAGTAAAAAGGGCAATATCTCTCGCATATCTGTAGTGGCTTAATCCATTGCCCAAAGCAAAGGAGCATTGTAATTTCCTTCCTGATCAAGAAGCTCTACAGTGAGCTTTCTCCAGAAAGTATTCTGCTGCCAGTTGTCACTGTAACAGCCTTTGTAACCAGCAGGTGAATTGCAGGGTCACTCCGAGGAATCATTTTACACAGTTTTGGTGTCTTCTTCAGTTATGAGTCTGGTAAGGAACTTAGAAAATAACCCAGTGGCATGGAAGCAGATTAGACCAGCATACTGCAGGGGCAGGAAGGAAGCTCTAAGACTCGAGAGGAAAACCTGGAATGCTCTTTGCATTACATAGTAAGGACTAGATACTTAGGGGCTATGCCAATCAATACTGCAGAGAACCTGTCCCTGTTTAGTCCCACAACAGCTTCATGTGACAGTTAAGGTGCTGCCAATAGCAGCTAACAGTCAGAAAACTTACCATAAAATTCCAAGTTCATGCACTGCTCCTGGATCCTATCTTTGGTATTGCTCCTCCAGGCTTTGAGCGCTGTCCTCTTCACTCTATAGCAACAGGGTCTGTTGCTCATAAAATTCAGCACCTTTGCACATGGAAATGAAAAAAAAAACCAGACATAAGCTTATGAAATGTGTCTGCTTCCTTACTAATCCATGCTTTGATGGCTCAAAGAAAACCAGCTATTAGAATTAAACTTTTTAAGTTAAATTGGCTCTGAAATCCTCCATAGACATGATCAACACAGACATTTTTAGCCTGTTTCTTCTTTCTCTCCATGGTTAAACCAAGGAACAATCAGAACAGGCAAATCCCCAAAACTGTGAGGTCCATCTGAGCCCAATGTAAACTATTCCCACCTTATAGACACACACAAAAAGAAGGGGTTTGGTACTTCTAGGCAGTGATCCTGCAAGGTGATGGGTGTTGAACTCGATGTTGGCAGCATTTAGACATACAGAAGGATGTAAAAACAACCACTTGAGGGTGTTACTGTGTGTGCATATAAAAGCAAGGCTAGCCTGTTCCAGGTGGAGAGACCAAAGGCTGATGGGGAAAACCAACTAGAAAAAAAAACCTATTTCCAGTTCATCTGAGTTGCAGATGGGATGTCTTACCCTGTCTTGACTGAGTTTCATATTGAATAATGTGCTAAAAGTGCAGGAGACATACCCAACCTGGTTCTTCTCTATTTGAGTGAACTCCCCAGCTGCCAAACTCAACTTCAGTGTAATCAGAAGAGCAGGAAATCAGGACTGCAGTTCTCCCTGCTAACCAGAAGCACGCTAGGGACCACTTGCTTTTCACTGCCAGGTCACCATGCTGCCTTCTTTCTGAGTCCTGTAGTGTTTTCTGCCATCTGTTTCCTCAGAGACCTGAAGGACAACACACTGCTCAAGGAAAACTGGCATAGCTGCCACGCTGGCAATGTCAGAGACACTTAGAGAACAGATCCAAACTAGGGTTTGGACTGCTAGAATAGTCCTGGTACACGATAGAGGAAGTGGGTAACCTTCCCAGTTAGGGTAAAAGCAGAGCTTCAGCTGCCAGGTATAGCTCAAGGCTTGCAAGGAGACTTTCTTCCTGTTTAATGAGAAAGTCCTACAAGTTTGCCTCTCTCTCACCAGCAACAGTGTCTACGTTCATAGTTTCCTCCTTTCCAGTCCCCTCACCTCCACGCTGTAGACTGAACAGGGCAGACTGCTGAACTCACTTTTGCCAAGAGGCTCATTTGTTGCAGCCAGGACTTCAATGAATTCAGATGCCATAATGGTGCACTTCTGGCCTTCTCCTATCACTTGGCTTTCTGCTTAACCCTGGGATTGCATATCCTGTGCTTGTAGGTTCTCCAGAGGACCCTGAGGACGATGAGTACGTGCTGGTCAATAACAAGTGTCAGTGTGTAACAGTGACCTCAAGGTTGGTCCCCTCCAAAGAAAACCCTGATGAAGAAATCCTGGAGAGAAACATACGCATCATGTAAGTGGCAGACAACTACTGCATGGAGATGGTGAACAGGAGATGATGTGTTATAGGACTTCCCTTTTCCTTGCATTGCATCCCATGTCCTGTGAACTCTTTTTCCCAAGGGTTGCTTTCTATAGTGTGCTGGAATAATTCCTTTTGCTCCCATCTTATGCTTTGTGTTTTTCTAGCTCACATGCACCTATCTGGTGCTTGTCCCTTCAGATACAAAAAGCATCTCGATGTGTTAAAGGGTCCAGTAGTAACAGTACAAAATAGACTGAGGAAGTGGAGTATAACATTTCTACAGTTGATCTAATCTGAAACCAGATTGGTCCCATGACACTGGACTCATTTGCAAATCTGATCTGTTAGCAAGCCTGCTATTTTATAGGCTGGGAATACTAGTTAATGCCTCAACTGTCAGAAAAGGTTAATCCTATGAGGCAGATTTCAGTTTAGGAGGATGATCTTGTCCTATGTATTCACACAAACCTTACATAAACATGTGTGCTTGTCTTGGAAACATGGACCAAGTCCAGGCTCAGAGGTGCAGGATTTTGGTAGAGCTCACAACAGGAGAAGCACTGGTTAAACATCTCTGTACATGGCCTGCAAGTCTCACGGGCCTCTGCCAGCTCAGAATTTTAAAAAAGGGACTATTCAGCACTGTCACCTTGAAAGCAACACTTTCAGAAATGGCTGCAGTCCTCTCTGGGAGGCTTGCTGCCTTTGAAGGGGTGGAGAGGCCAAGATCTGCCCTTCCTGGGCTTTGCTCTGAAGAAGCCTCAGAAAAGAAAAAACCTGAGGAACAAGTTGAGAGTTGAGAATTACAGCAGAGTGATCCCTTGTTTAACAAGTAGTTTTCCTGACAGCAATTCTCTTTCCTCCTTTACAGAGTCCCCCTGAGAGCCCGAGAGAACATCTCTGACCCCACATCCCCACTCAGAACCACTTTCGTCTACCGCATGACTGAACTGTAAGTGATTTTATTCGCTAAGTTCACTTCCTAGGACTCAACCTGCCCTGCAGGGTTGCCCACAGCAGCTCAAAAAAGTGCTTGAAGGCCAGTAGAGAAGGTGAGGCAGAGTCACAGAAGTACGTTTTCTCCACAGAGCCTAGCTTTAATATTCTGTTACAAGCCAAGAAATTGTTGTCCCCATGATTAATTCACATAAAAAGGTCTCACATTTACAGGGAATGCTTCATTCTGACCCCTGTTCATCTTGAATGTCTCAAATATCAGCAAATTACATGTTTCCTGTTTAACTCTCCCTTTTAGAGGCCAGTCTTACCAAAGCATCTGAGTGGGAGTTCCTATGTAGAAGCTATACAGGTCACAGTACCCCCCTAGCTACGTCTGCAGATCAGCCAAGAAGATTTGGGTTTCACCAGGGGCATCTTGTCATCGCCATTCTTAACCCTCGCTCTATTCTCCATCTCTTCCAGCTGCAGAAAATGTGATCCTGTAGAAATCCAACTGGGTGGGGAGATATACAAGGCCCAGCAGAGCAACTTCTGCGATGAACCCCAAACCTGCTATACCTACAACAGGGACCAGTGCTACACCTCGACCTTCCCATTCATCTACCGCGGAGAAACCAAACACGTTGAAGCAGTTCTGACACCAGAATCCTGCTACCCCGATTAGCTCAATTCACCACTCCACTAACGCCTTGTTGCACTCTGTGTTTCTATCAAAAATACATGCATAGCACCTTAGGACCTGGACAACAGTGGCCAAACTATCAGCTCCCAGAGTAATGCCAGCTTGGCTCTTCATCTTGTTTTTAACATCAAACTAGTGCCATCCTAGTTGTCAGAGATTTTCTTCTCCTATCCATGGCCCATAACTGCAACACTGCAGATTATTATTTGTCTCAGATATTCTCACCTTATAGATCAGATCCTCAGCAGGTGTAAATCACTAACTCCCTTGACATGAAGGGAACTACACCAATTTACACCACCAGGGAACCTATCTTCTTGACAATCTTCCATCTGTCTGTGTCTGAGCAG